GATGTTGGTTATTTTCTCCATGACACCAAAAGCCTCCCAGACGTTGGATTTCGCTCTTGAGGAAGAGTTATTTACAATGCTGTATTCTCCGCTAGAGCTTCACCTCAGCCATTTCGAATGTGGCGCGCTCAGCAGCAGATTGATGCGGTGCAGAGGTTATGATTATGCGCGGTCCCGCGGGGAGAGGTCTGAGGAATCTTACCACCCGCGAATCACTTTTTTTGCAGGTCACCCGTCGGGTACCGACCCAATGCAGGACTCTGATCCCCGCATCATCCGCCTGTGTGCATCAAAGACGCAGACTCATTGTTCCCAGCACTAAAGTAGGGGTGAGTGTAATAAGGAGGCAAAGTTGATGTTCAGTGTGTTGCCGGGACCATAAGGATTCATCCACGATGTTGAAAATGTAAAAAATGTTTAAAACAAATATTTAAAACATGACATTTGCTCTTACTGGACCTCTTTGAAATGCAATTGAATAACCCTGCATTATAGCAACAACAACAATAATAATAATAATAATAGCAATAATAATTGGGAGGGGGGGCGCGGCTGTTCTCATGTTCTCTGAGGGGAGGCTCACCTTCCCAGACTTTGAAAACCCCTGCCTTAGATCGTTGTCAGAGCTGCACTTCTCCGAGCAGACACCAGATGGAGCCAGCGAGCAGTGCTGAGACTCACCCACCCACAAATGTTTTACAACCAACACACACTGCAACACCATCTCATCCGCACTGTTAGACAGCCAACCACAACACACATTTGTCCCCAGTGATGAAAGTATCCACTTTGATTCACTCTGTCTGCTCTCAAGGACAAAACCAGGTCGCCGCCTCTCATTGTTTTTGTGTGTGTGTGTGTGCGTGTGCGTGTGCGTGTGCGTGTGCGTGTGCGTGTGCGTGTGCGTGTGCGTGTGCGTGTGCGTGTGCGTGTGCGTGTGTGTGTGTGTGTGTGTGTGACAGCACTCCCAGCAGAGGAAAATATGGTTACTTCTTTGCTTTGCTTACAGAAACGCTATCTCCGTCTCTCTAACACACATGTATACAGTTTATCTTGCTGAATGATGACCACGCAGCAGATCACACACACATACCCAGAAACTCTTATATACACAGGGATGAAAGCCAGCATACATTCCTGCATGGTAAAAAGTGAGGGTGTCCTTGCCTTACATAAGGGTAAAATAGCCTCAGACATCAATATTGTATGAAAGAGAGAGGATAGAGAGATGTGAAGGCAGTACGCAGGTTTATAAATAGACACACACAGTCGGGAGAAAAATAGACACAGGTAGAAAAACAGAGGGGCCGAGCAGATGTCTTCATAACATTGAACCACAAAAGCAGTCAGCTGTCAGTAACTATATTAAAGTCTGTCCACTGATTCCCAGTCTCATTGGGAAACAGAAGCACATTTCACAAGTGACCTCAATAAAGTGACAAAATATTATGATGTATTATCTCATCATAATTGGTATGTATAATTAGAATGTTGCTATTGAACGATTAGATCAGACTCTGTAATGTATCTAGTTGTAGATCTATATGTGGCTGCATATACTGTATAAAAACCTTAGCCAATTAAATAATATCATTAATTGTTTATGTTAAGGGATGTAAAACAGTTTTTTAAAGTGGTGCAACACATCTGCTAAAGATGTGAACTTTTAAAGCAAATTGAGTGTTGGAAAGAACATAATGCATCTTGTTAACATTTACATAATGATTGTCAATGTTATTTTGGCCAGTACTCTAACGCTACAGCACTGAGTGGCCAGTTTAAGAGGTCTCATAAAGATTTTTAAGAGGTCTCATAAAGATCCACAAACTTAGTTATTCCGACTTTATGAGCTAATGAATATTAGGGTTAGGGTTAGAAGCTAAAGGGTGAAAAGAAATCAAGTTTCACATAAATGATTTCTGCATATTAAGTCAGATGGGACAGAACCCTCTTGTTTAAGGTGCATTTGTCTTTGAAAATAGAGCTAATTTCTCGAGTATACAATGACGCACACTAGTCTAAGACCAACTCATATGGTGTGAAGTATAACATCATTATTTTCCAATTAAGACCATCTGGTAGACACTGAGTGGCATGAGGTGTTGAAAACAGCTTAGCAACAGAATGGCAAGGATGTTCATAATGTAATTAATTTGCAGCATTCACTGGGTATAAAGTGACAATCCCTTAAAAGTAACAGACTGATACAGTTTGGAATGCTGACTCATATCAATCATAAAAATAGACTGTGATAAAATATCAACATATTCATTAAACAGCTGAATCTTAATGTATAGGCTATGCCCGTTTCTGTTTATAAAATGCTTTAACAGTTTTACAGCATTATGAATGCAAAACTTGCTTTGGTAAAATAAAGAATAATTATTTTATCTAAGAAGAACCTGTGCCTTTTCAGCTAGTCAAAATGGAAACTAAAGAGGGTCTATTTCACTAACCCTCTTCTATGCCACATTTAGTGAACATCAACAGTTATATGTAATCAGTTAGAATATTGTTTGTACCAGAAAAGGATTTTGAAGATTTCTGTAATGCTATGCTGAGATCAACCTAAATGAAGACACTGGGTGCATGTCAATATTGAAGCCTCATAATAGGGCGCAAACAATGATTTCTAACTTTTGAAATAACAGTTTTTTAGTTCATTTTACTCAATTTTTACATGTTAAACCTTCACTGCCACCTTTGTTAAAACCACACAGGATGTTCATGAAATAGCCTTAACCCAACAATCACAGCAGGAGCTACTGTGGGTCAAGGTTGTCCAAAGTCTCCAACAGAGCTCCAAATTGAATAAAGATTGAGCATAAAATATGCCAAAAGCAAAAAGAGGAACTTGTCTTACCTGTTGTTCAAGGTGACATGGTTGGTGGCATTATGAAACAGAGAAAAGGAAGGGGGAGAGAAAAAGACAATGTTCAGCCAGTTCAGAATCAGCTTCAATGTGATTAAATCAGCAGCCTTGACAATACAAAGGCCTCAGGGTTAGAACTTATAGTACAAATAAAATTGTGAAGATGCTTCAAAACTCCAGTTAGAATTTCTTCAGGTTTAAGGATGCTTTAGAGACTAAAGGGCAGTTTTGCTTTATCAGGATAAAGGCCTTTTTATGCGTGTAATTGGTAATGTTTTAGTGCTGGGGGAAGCATAGAGAGAATCACACTGGACATTAAAGCTTCATTCAGCACTTAGGGATGTTGCCAGAGACAATCATCATGACTGAAACCTGGCATTATCAGGAGGAGGAAGTATTAGACGGAGCTCATCTCAGGGTTTATCCCAGTGTATAAGAGGTCAAGCAGGCCATAAGGGCCGACATTACACTGCTGGCTGCTACACTCATCAGCTTTAGATGTTGAAGTTATGTCATTCACGTGACATTTCTCAGACTTGTCATGTCTGCAGTTATACCAACTGGGGGAAACCCTGTCATTTGAAGGTGGTTAGGTTTACATTAGGGATTACGTATTAGACAAGCACAAATTGAATTTTTAAATAAGGTCAAGAACACTGCTTTTTGTTTTGTTTTTAAACCTAAAAACTATTCTGGATCTTTGCAGTGGATAATAAAGGTCATAAGAAAATGAATGAATATAATTTTAGTATTTTGGCTTATCAAAGAGTGGCCACACAATGATGATGTTGTGATGGAATGCATTATATTCAAGAGTATTTATTCTGCCCCCCTCATGTGCACATGTAAAAACAGAGGCGGGGGCAATAAGAAAATGGTGTGAAGATAACCTCAGTAATACTCATTTAGTTGAATTTAAACATTACTGTCAAGGTCACCAACAACTGAGCGGTTGTAGTGAATTGCAAACATTACAGGTGTACATCATAAAATGACAAAAATATATTTACTCAAGGCAACCTTATTAAAGGTCTTCCAGAGCTTTGCGACACATATTCTGGCTTTCAATTTTGTGAATGGTTTATTTTTTTGGGGGGGGTTGCTTTGGTCACTTAAAGTCAAACTCTAAGTATTGTCTTACTCTTATCTGCTCTATAGCGGGTAGCATGAGTCAGATTTGCTGCCTAAATCAGAACGTCCTACAATAAGCATTCTGCTTCTCCACAAAACATCTATAAATGTGAGACTCTTAATGTGGTCACATAAATGACAAACAGTTGTAATATAAACACAAAATATAGACACAATAAACCCAAGAGGCATCAAGATAATTGGATAATTTCAGGATGGGCATTTAACAACCACAACCGTTATACATTAAACCAATTTTTTTGTCGCAGTCATGTCTACCATTAACTTAGATTGAACAACTACAAACATTTTTGCTCAATGCAGTTGATAAACTATAACATTGACTTAATACATCTAAAAAGGCATTAGCAAAATAGTTTGCCATGCAAGGACCCAGGCTATGTGTGTCTTGGTACAGACAGAGAGGAGATAATGTGGGAGGTTACACAGGCAGCTGACAATCAGATGAAACAGGAGACAGCGGAGCAAGCAATGCTGGCATAGCTATCAGAAGCAGCAGGTCAGGTGATTCAACTGTTATGATCATGGTAACAGATACACAGAGGCAGGCAGAGGGAAATCAGACAACTTATCAGTTTACCCTCGCAGTTTTGTCAATATAGGGCCCGACCAGCACAGTACATTTGTGTCCCATTCTCATGCCATCAGATGATATAGTGGACACAAATGTTTCTCTGGTACATTTTTGAGATACAATCATATTTCTTAGGTGTTATGAATGGTCGCAAAGAGCCGATTTCTGTGTATGAATATCTAAAAAAGAGATTGAAGTGGAGCTGCTCTCTATTAATGTGTCAAGCCCTGTTTATTACAAATACATAGAGGAAAGGATCAAGCACCAAGGAGGCCTGGTACTTAATCCACAGACAGAGAGCCATGCATACAGGAAGACAAACAGTAACTACTTCCTGCTTTCCTAGTCTACAATGATTTTGTTTCTCCATGTTATTCATAATCTTCCCTGTAGTTCACCAACCTTCCATTGGGGGGAGCTGTGGCGACGAGGACTCCTGGTGCTCTGAGTGTGCAGGGAGAGAAGGACGGGCTGCAGGGGTGATGGGTGGAGGGGGAGTGGCTACTGCTGAGCTAAAGGGTGTGGCTACACTTTTGGGGGTTGTGGCTGATGATGGTGGTGCAGGAGTGGCTTCATTCTTAAAGGGAGAAGGTGAGGAACTAAGGGTCATGGCAGGGGTGGTAGTGGGTGCAGTAGATGGGCTTCCTGTGAAAGCTGCTGCTGCTGTTGTACTAAAAGCTGGAGATGCTGCAGTCATGCTAGAAGACATGAGCGTGGCTGAGGGGACGAAAGGCTTGGCATCGACGTTGAGGGCTGATTTGACTGTGGTTGTTGAAGGGTATGTGTCAGCGGAAGCTAACGGTGATGGGTTGGTTGACAGAACGGAAGTAGGAGGAAGGTCTGTAGTAACCTTTGAAGGGTTAAGAACAGAAGTGGCTTGTGAAGCAGGGATGCCCATTTCTGACTTTGCCATGGGGGCTGTAGCAAGGGAGGGAGTGTTAGTGATAGGGGTGGTGGTCTGTGAGTCAGGAGTGGAGCCTGGAGGGGTCTGGAGAACTGAATCCAGGAAAGAGAAGGTCTGGGAGACTGGGCTAAGATTCTCCCCTGTCATCAGTGCTAGACTATCACTAACATCCACAGCTGAACTATTCTTGCCAGGAACATTAGTCGCTGCGCTAATGGTAGGTTCAGGTTTGCTGGTCGATACTTTCACTTCATTTGCCTTTTGACCATCTTTAGCAGACATAGGGAAGTCGTCTGCACACATCGGCTCATAAGAGCGAGGAGATGAATCTGGTACAAGGCTAGCATTGGAACGATTAGTGAAACTTGTGGGAAATTGTGAAGGGGAAGAGGGAAAAACAGGGCTGGGGTTGGAGTCAGAATGACCAGAGTCGGCAGTAGCCCAGGTAGGAGCGACTGTAGCCGGTGTCGGAGAGATGGGCTGCTGGGGCGCCCCCCACTGTTCGGGAAGTTTCGCCCGACTCTTAGTCTTCTTGCCTTTCACTCTACCTCCTCCTCCACTCTCTCTTATCTCCCACTCCCAGTTCTCCTCGTCATCCTCATCCTCCTCTGCCTCCATTCCTCCCTTATCCTGCATCCCAGGCTTTTGAGATTGGCCGATGCTATTCTCTTGGCTATCCAAGAAGTCGTAGACCTGGTCACTGCCCTTCCTCTTCTTCTTCCGGCGCCTCTGCTTGTCAGCCTCGCCCCCTGGCCCCACTCTCTCAGGGCTGAGGGGTTCGGAGACGGAGGAAGAGGGACTGCTGTCGTCCATTGAGCCGCTTGGAGAGAGTACGGGAGCTGCTGAGGGGGGGAGGGTTTTATAAGAGGAGGAACCAATCACATACTGTGTCAGAGCCAAAAAGCCTTCAGATTGTGGTTACCATAGCTGGTTTAAACTACTTTATTTATACATTGTTTACAAACTTGTCCAACAGATATCTGCATGTAAATGCATGATCTCTAGGCATTGGGGCAATATTTGTGTACCATTTGTGGGAAGAGTAGTATTGACCAATCATGTTTGAGTAGGCTTTGATTGAACGTAAGCAGTGCATGTGGAGAACAGAGCGGGCGAAACGCATTGGCAGCAATGCAATTACGCAACCAATTGGTTATCATCAATTCAGATTTATATTACGTTGTAAACTGACTACTTGTGAGACAATCTGGTCATATAGTTTGTCTCCTTTCTGGACACTGAACTTGCTAATCGGACTTTAAACAATAAGAGCTCGCGGAATTGAATTATTGGTATCCAGTGGTTGCACTAGAACACATGAAATATTGGCTCAAAAAGCTTGTAAGACCCATAACCAATGGGATCAAGATCAGGTTAGACTATGCCACACCCTGTGAATGTGTCAGTATTAATAGAATCAGAGTGTTTACGGAGAGGATTAAGGCCGTCCCACATATAAACTGAGGTAGTTTTAAGGTTTTGTAGCAAAAGTTCTGTCAATCCAAACATCCTAATCAATGTTTCTTTGTGTTGATTACAGATAGAAAGGCTTCCATGAGTTTGTCGGACCCTGGGAAACTGGTTATTCCGTCACGTCATGAGTACAATAACGCCAAGGTACAAGAAACTCTGTGCTAAATACATACACAACATAAAAATGTGTTAACCACCTAGAGCCATAATGGATTGCTGCAGTTTATTTCTCAGTGTCTCACCTGGCTGTTTCAAGCCATTGTAACCATAATCTGACTGCTTTAAAGCTCCTTTTGGCATAACCCTTCAAACGCTTTCATAACATATGAAGTACGTGATGGTGCCTGCTTTTATAAATACAATCAACCTGTAATTTACTTACCTGTAACATTCTATATTTCACTAAATGTAATTATATGTGCATTATCCATTTCCTATTTGGACATATGGAGGTTCAGCGCTGAGGATCGGTTCAGAATAATTTGTTTTGATTTATCTACTTGGTTGTGTCTCAATTCTTCAAATGTGCCAGATTTGTATAGTAAAATTGTAGGACTGGAGGCTATACATATATCTATATTAATCCCAATGAATACAGTATGATAAGATACATTAAAAGTCGGAAGATCCATTGGGGCGATTTAATCTTAATGTGTACATTTTAAAATCTGAAAATTCTGTATGGAGTCTGGAATGGACTGAGTTTGAAATTGGCCCTTTTCAGTCAAACAATAGATTTATTGTGCGATTGTCTCCCTGTGGAAAACATATTTGATTCACCTCTTTTTAACATGATCACGACCCAGAGGGTAAAGCTGATCTTGTAGGGAGCAGGCACACACAGCAAAGCAAAACACACACACTGGGAGCAATACAGCTCTGAAGCAACTTTACAAGGTAAATGCATCAAGCTCATTTCAAATAGGATCCAGCATGCATGTTTAAAAAAAAAAATACATGTATTTTTTAAAGAATCCTGTTAGAAAAAGGATCATTGTCCCACATACAGAAACACAAAAAACGATCCAAAAATGGCACAATGCACATGTGGAATGAGTCACAGAATCACAACGACAAAATGTGCACATGCAAGCTTTTACTTATCACAAAAGAATAAAGCTTGCATGGAATTGATCCCTTTATCTCTCTGTTCCCACTATCTTATCTCCTGTTTGCGGAGGAATTCATCACGTTGTTTATGCTTTTTCCTCAAAGCAATATTTTTCAATAATGTCTGACAAGCACTCCATTACCTCAGAGAGAATGAGGGAGGAAAAGATGAACAGACAGATAAAAACAGACAGATTGAGAGAAGGACTGTATAAACAAACCTCTAACCTATATCCCGCTCTCATTTCTCTTCATCATGTCTTCACCCGGTTTCAAGTAAAACTGCTCTATCACAGTGTTCATCGACCCCTCCTCTGTTTTACATCACTGGATATGAATGTGAACGCAGAAAAAGGTGCATACCCCTTTAATCTGTAACATTTTCATATATTTCTGAATTGATTTACTTCTCCCTTTGGCCTCGAATGCTTGTATAGCTACTGTATAATCAGATCAAGGTTGAGATGAAACTGGAGCATTATCATGTATATTTAATGCGATAAGTTATTAAAAAGGGATTACATCTTAATATGGAGACTGGCACACTGCCAAGTGAAACAGTCATGTTGGAGCACTACCTGCCTCTAACTATTAGCCTATGCAAAAGTGCTGCGTGTGAGGGCTTTCATGTCAGCGAGTCCCACTAGCCCCTGCACACACAGAGAAGCAGGTGTGTAGAGGACAGATACACACTCCGAGAAGAGCCGGATGCTGGTTGGTAAATATAGCATCAAGCTTTGTAGCTCCAAAAATACCTTTTCTTTACACTGTAAGTCTTAGAGTCTAAGACTTAGACATTAAATGCACCAGGGTCGCAAAAACGTGTGAATTAGAAAGGGAACCGCAATTGAGTTATTTGTACTAAGATTGATCCAGCACATCTCTTATTGTACATGCGCTGTTCATATTCCTGCCGTCGAAGAAAAAAACCTCCAAATACAGCCAACATGATGTGGTTCTTGTGGAATGATGTGACCAAACAGAAGCACATATTGACAAGCTCCCTCTGTAAAACAAGTTATTTAAATAAAAGGTTGAATGGTTTTTGCTTTATCCGATATCCATTGATGTAAGACAGGAAGAAGCAGAAGACATGACACAAGTCCAAATGTTTTTTCTGCCTGGCAACTAGAACAAATACTAATACTCAAAAACGTAAGCTTTAGATCTATATATCTTTCAAACACACCATTGCATTTGACAAGTCCTCATCTTTCATGTAGGACAAATTACTTCAATCGACATTACAATACTGTGGGGCTTTTTTTTTATGTTTGCTCATTGCCACTGCTTACTGTCGCAGTTAAATACACAGTGAGTCATTGTTAATGTTTCCTTCATTTTGAATATTATATCAATATGTACTAATAACATCTTCACTGCAGTCATTTGTACTATACATAATCGAGGTCTCTGACGGATACATGAATCTAATGGCTCCAGTAACACTGCACTCTGAGCTAACAGAGCGTATCCTTCTTGAGATATTGAGCTTGGTTTATCCCTCATTACTTTTGTGATTAGCGCAGTTTAAGACACAAAAACAGATTTCCATCTTCATCAGCTCATATGCTCTGAATTTGATTTCTGTGCTTAAAGGTTGCATATTTGATTTCTAAAACAATCTGCAACAGTAAGATCAAACATTAGGTTAGTTAATCCAAAGCTTATTTTGTATTCTTCATCGCTGTCATCTAAATTATGTAACAGGATTGGCATGTTTCCAGAGTGTCAGCAGGTATTTTGTTTAATAGAGCGGTTCGCTAAGGACATTTATTTTATAACAGCAGCATCTGGTTACATCACTAGTCTCTTCCCTGAAAATGGAATGGGTTTTCATTCTAAAAACTAAGTGTGTGTCAGTCAATACAGCAACTGATGTTGGGTAACAGACAATCTCCTCTCAATTCATCCCTGGTTTCTAGGAGATGTCTTTTTTAAATGTCCTGTAATGAACTAGGATAGTAACTGTTACATAACCAGCGTGTACCGTTAGCTGGTCTATCTTTAGATCACCAACAAAACAGAAGGGAGAAGAGATACAAAATAAAACCCTAAATAAGAGCGTGCTGAATGATTAATACACTCGAATGACACTCAGATGCTGAGTAATTTTTTGTTTAGTTAAATCTTTATTTCTCAAAAGCTTTAATGCTGAACAGACATAGAGAGTAACATTAGGTTAATGGGAGAACATAACTATGTGCAGCACTGCAAGCATGTCTTTATTAAAGCAGCTTGAATGTGTGCATAATTACAGAGAAAGACCCTGAAAGGCATGATGTGCTGCTTTGTCTTTAAATCCTCTCCTGGGATTTGTGTTTTTGTTGCTAGGCAACCATACATTCAGTTAAGACACAGCTGTTATTCCCTCAAGCGTAGTAAACATGAAAAATGAATGATAAAAGGCAACTAGAATTGTCATGGTTGCATATAGGTTGGGTTTTCTCATCGACATAAAATGATGTGTTTTTTTTTTATGGCCACTGCATAGGTCTCATTTGATCAAATTTAAAGATAAAGAATAGTAAGGGGCAGAGAGGATAAAGCGATGAATGCAGTGGTGATGACAAAGCTGAACTGCAGTGGAAACAACTAGAAGAGGCTGCCCTCTGCTGCTCAAATGTGCCCTGTGTGATCAGGCTCTTACTCTCCTATCACCATCCGCCACTGCTGCCATGCTACAGGGCTTCCTATAATAATGTGCATGACGTATGAGAATCAAGTCAAGCTCATTTAAGATTTGACAAGGATTTACTTGTTTTACTCCAGCAGGGGCTCCAGTTTTCTGTGTGAAAAATACAACCAGCCCTCCCTAACAACTACACAAAAACACCTGCTCAGTATTGTGTTACTGGGAGTGTCAGGTAAACCTTCTTCAGCAGAGATTACCACTACCTGTTCCTCCTCTCTCCTCCTTCTCCTGTCTCCACCCGCCCCTTCTGCAAATAGGAACACATGCAACCAACCCTCTTTGTGATACCTGCAGAGTGATCCATGGAGGGGATTCCCAGGCCACCGAGGGAAAATGGATCACTGGGTTTAAAGGGACTGCTTCCACTGGTGCTTTTGTTTTCCACACCAAACAGGCCCGAACTCTTCTGGCTGTCCATAGCAGAACCCATCCCGGTCTGGCCGAGAGCCAAGCCCATCCCGGACTGGAAGGGGGGCTGGCTGGACCCCATGGGCCCTCCCATCCCAGACTGAGAGAAACCTGATGGACAGACAGAGCACAGAGACCGGTCACCAACAGATAATACGTGTATGTACTGCAGCTACATACACTATATAAACTGGTTGCTGCTTCTTTTTAAAGAATATACTGTAATGCAATGATTCTCAATATTCTTTCAGACAAGGACCTCTCACAATATAAACTGGGGACCCCTCATTTAGTTCCCTTGAAATAAAATTAGGATTCTTTTATAGAAAACATATTAAAGACATGTGAATAATCTTATAGTAATGGATTTGTTGGATTGGAACGGATTATATATGAACCAATATGGATTTAAAAAACTATTATACTACTACTATAAAACTAAAATATTTGTTGTCGATCTATGGAGCTTCTTTTTTAAATAAAACATTTAAACTTTCCACTGGAGTGCCATTAACACCATAGTTAAGAATATCTGCTGTAAGGAAGCTGTATTAGTAGTGGTGAGTGCACGTTATAGCTATCTTTACTAAACAATGAACCCTTATTAAGAATGAACTGGCCTGCTAATTTATAGCGTATTACTAACAGCATTATTAACAGCTACTAAGTAGAATTTGAAAATGTCTTCCAGCCATGTCCAGTTTTTCACCATACGCCATGAATGCCATCAGAATAATTTAAAACATTCTATAAATCCAGTCTAAATAATAAATGAACACATTACAACCACCAAATTTCAGCCGAATTAGTTTAAAGGGTTTTATATTCTGTATTGTTTGTAAACAAACAGATAGAAGGGATAATATGATACCCTTAAGTTTGTATTCAGAGGTTAAAATGACACAGAGGTTCAAAAAAGTAAAGTGGACCTAGAAATGAGTCAGGCATGCTGTTGTCCTTTGTCTTGTTCATGCTCCACTGATCCGTCCGCGCACCCATCATAGGACCTGCAAAGACAGAGATAGAGAGGAGGAGAGAAAGAAAGACGGAGAGAAAAAGAGTGAAAGGGGGATCAAGGAGAAAGATTTTAGCCAAGTACATTGGGGTCAGAGAGCCAGGGAGACACAATGATGGGGGAGGATGTAAAAAAGAGAGAAATGGTCGGAAGGGGAATGACATTTTCTGTTTTTAAATATTCAAATCATTGAAGCTATGCCCAGAAGTGTTGCAACTGGCAAGGTTTTTATTTTTCAAACTGATCCAGAGGGGGAACTAAAAGATCCCATGTGACTCTGCACAGATTTCGCACATGTTGTCTACACTAAATTAGAACAACTGTGTGATACATAAATAGCACTCCCTCCCTTCCCCCTCACCAGACAGGTAGTCAGAGCTGAAGGCGGGCTGTCCTTGTGGGTCTTGGCGTCCCCCTGATGACATCATTGATGACATCATCCCTGGACCTACAAGGAGATAAAAACCAACATCAGCATAACCTCGGACAAGCTCATTATTCTGTCACATTTTTTCAGAGCCAAAACAAGTACTACTTAAATTCCCAGGTAGGACATGTCTGGAAAAATTGAAAATGACACCCAGACCTGGAAATATATGACCTACATGTTTGTGGCAAACACACACTGCCTCCTGCAGCTTTCTTTTTAACATACTCTGAAAGCTGCACCTGAATCTGTCACTCTGCTCCTGTTGAACCGTCACACAGGTCCTGCTTCACAAAAACACTCTAGTGTGTGTCTGTGTGTGTGTGTTGTGCACACATATTTTGACAGTGAGACAAACAGACACAATCCGTCACTGAAGGCACCATCACCATGGTTACACAAGGAGAGGACGACAGCATCTGGGTCTCCCTAGGCAACGCCCCGCTGTCAGTGGACGTTTCTTAAAGGATCGATGCATATGCGCCACCCACTGAGACACACACACACACACACACACACACTCTTACACACACACACGCACTATCGTTGAATGTTTAATAATAATGGTTCAGTCAGGGGAGCAGTAGGGGGGGAGTTAAGTGCTTCTGTATGATATAGGATGGATGATGTTATCCTTTGACATAAGTAAAGATTTGCACAGTAGACTCCCATTAAGCAACACAGACATAAAATAGCTATTATCAAAATCTATCAAATAACAACTCAATAATACACATTTTAGTCTGCTTCATCAGGGGCAAAACCCGACCGAATTGTTGTTCAATTATCTGTGTAAAAAAAAGGACTTTTCAACAACAAATAATCCATACAAGCTTTACAAATGTGCTTTTTAATTTAAATGCTATTTTAGTTCTGGGCGCTCAGTAACAACAGTGGTGGAAGAAGCATGGACTAAACTTAAGGATATGGAGGGTCATGTATTTAAGAATCAAGTTTTGTTACATTTTGATATGCATCTGTCCATGGTCCTGAAATATCAGTGGTAAAGATAGATAATTAGCCCTAAAACAAAATCGAATTGGAGACTTATCAGGTTTTACTACTTCCTGCTGAGACAATGAGTGTTTAGTTTGTCACTGCAGGGGTTAATGCTCAAGCTAAAAATCAGTTTTCCACCAAATGTTTTCAGGGGGAATGAGGTCACATATTTTGGGCGCTGCGCCAGTATCAGTGTAATGGTGGATTTCATGAATAATTAACCAATCTGCATTAACTTTTACTTTAGGCTCACTGGATCAAGAAAAATTGACTTACAATCACATTAAATGTCCGTAAAATGTAACTTGTTGTGTAATCTGACTAGTTTTTTTTACATTTCAGATACACTAGCACTGTTAACAAAACACGCATACACACACGCACATTTCAAATCCAGACAGGCCTTTGAGGACAGCAGGCAACATCAAGCCTAAAGGTCCACTTTTTTCCGAACATTATATTTGTTTTACTTCCTCATCACTGGACTGGTCGCTCTTTTAAACACACTACCAGTAGGAAAAAGTCCATATATACAGATGGGGAACAACCACAGAGTAGCTTGTATTGCATGGTTTGTCAAAAATACAGTTTGACGAGCTCAGTGCTGTACATGACACCGACTGGTTTTACTTTTACCTCATTGCTCAGTGCATATGTTACACCACTCAGACCGCAAGAGCTACACATACCACAGTACTGTACCGTGATTTGGTAATGTGCAACATGGACCTTCATCTTGTAAAAGTCCTGTTCAATTGGTTGCGAAGGAAATTAAATATAATATATTAAGGGCCTTTAGACGTGGTACAGTATGTGCTTTACAAAGGGTAAAGATAGAAGACTTAAAGGTCACCTATTATGCAAAATCCACTTTTTCATGTCTTGTATACATAAACATGTAATTTACTCTGTGTAAAGAGATTCTGAAAGTTTCAGGAAAAAGATTCGCTCACTTTTTGTCCTGATCCATTTATATAAAAACCTGTCTGAAAATGAGCTGATTTTGGCCACTTTATGATGTCATAACGATTTTTTGGCTTGTGTAACCATTAGCCAATAACCAACCAAGGTAACACCCCCCACTTTATCACCTGAATCTCCTCCTAGAGCACCATTGTGTTCTTTTTAATCAAATATCTCGCAGACGGGCGTGGGGAGCAGGGACGCGGGAAGGGGGGGTGCTGAGGGGGCTGCAGCACCCCCATCTGTTGGCGGAGAGTTGTAACTGCAACGCCAAAAAGTTCACTAAACAAATCAATAAAAAAGTTTTATTTTGAGTTAGCATTTTAGTGTAAGTCTATAAAACATGGTTGTTTTTTAAATGGTTGATATATAGAAAATATCATTAATAAGTAGCAGACTACTATTACTGCTGGTCAATTCAACCTCCTCAACCGTGAGTAGTAAATATCATAACAAATAACGTTGGGCGCGAAAAATCACGGTTGAGGAGGTTGAATTGACAAGTAATAGTCTGCTACTAGTATTGCTACTACTATAGCCGCTTTCACACCAAGTACTTTGCCGTACTTAGTGCCCAGCACTTAGTGCCAGCACTTAGTACCCCCATGGAACTAAGTACAGATCGCGTTCACACCGGAATAAGTTCCCTGAGGGAAGATTACGCAAATGAAGCCGCTGGCGTCACTTCTTCTTCTTCTGCTTTGGGTTTACTGGCAGGCCGCAAACCACTTCACGGCGTATACTGCCACCCGAAGTTCCCGGCCGGAAGTCCCCGGGGTTGAGGACTGGCTTCAGTAGAAGCTGCTGGGAGTCCCAGCAGCTTCACAAAACCTTTCAGAGTTTTACGGGGCGTGGTTTGCAATCGCCCAGCCAATCGAAATTGGTACTTTTTTCTCCCCAGGATAGTACCACCTCTCTAGCAGGCACTAAAAATGGGGGTAAAAGTTCTCTGAACTAAGTACTCTTTTTGGTGTGAACGCAAAATTCCAGGCACTAACGGAACTAAACGGGAAAAGTACGGGTAAAAGTACTCCGGTGTGAACGTGCCTGATGTCTCAAAAACGAATATTAGATTTCTTGAATGGCCCCAAAGCCAAACAACCAAAAAACCCTATCGACTCGGAGTCCCTGCAGACAACAAACATTAGAACGAACACCAATTAATGCGCTACTCTCACAAGCTGTTGCTAAGGAACAAATGACTGCACAGACTGTGACTTATTTCCACCACCCCTGAGCGCAAGACCACCTTCGGTGTTCTGTAGCCTATGCTGTGTGCGCGCAAAGAGAGAGTCAGAGAGAGTCAGAGAGAGTGAGAGAGAAGTTCAGAGTTACTCGTTATTAATATTTTCGGATGGTTGCTCTGTGTTCACTTAAATAAAATAAATAAATACGTTTATTTAGCGCTGTGTGCAATTGTGTAAAATGGGTAAATTGTCACTGTTAGAAACCTATGATTATTCATGTAGGCCTATTCCGTTTTAATCTGTTTAATCTCTGTTAACTCTGCATCTGTTATTGTTATACAATCCGGTGCGCAGTGCGCGCTATAAAGTTCAAGTGCATTGTTATTGCTACCCGGCTGCGTCAATCAACAATAAATCGTCTTCTGATTAGAAAAAAACCTGCTGCATTTCGTGTGTGAAATCCCCCCGCCCCCCGCCCCCCCAGCTCTGACTGACTTCCCGCGTACCTGGTGGGGAGTGGCTCCCTATTTTCATCTAAAGTAACAGACAGAGAATCAGCACTTTTGAAACAGGGCTGAAACAGAGAGGTTTATGGGATGCTACAATGCATGCTTTGTATATGCGAGACCTATAATATATTGATGAAAAATAGTATAATAGGAGACCTATAAGTACATTGTGTTCACTGGCAAGGCATGTCAGTGAATTGTCAGTTAAGCAAAATATTTTATAATGGATTATTTTTTTACTACTCAGCTAATAACACCATATTTAACAATGACACGTGTTCTTATAGTAATGTGTCTAACCTCCTCACTTGCCAGTGATTATGTCATTTCTTACAAGGTCTGTTGTACTGTAACTATTCCCTTGTGCTTTAATTCAGCTTCAGCCCATTCACATTTCTCACTTCATTCATTCCACTTAAAACTGCCTGTGGGAGCTTTCTCACACACACTCCGCAGGAGGGAAAACCTGACGAGACTGCACATTTAATCTGAATACTGTTAACCTGTTAAGCCCTGAGCCTGTTTTTCAGGTCTCAGGCTCGAAAATGACATTCCCAGAACAAATGACCATATCTTCCCTTCTAAAAGGGTTAAATTAATAATCTTTTTTCTCAAAGTAAATGATAAACCTGTGAGTTGGATGTAGAATAGTCAGAATCAATATAGATGTTTTTTATTTTAAAGAAAATTCAGATTTTACATAGTAAAAAACTGTAAATGATAGTGTCCGTCCAAAAATTCTTTTTTACTTATAGTGAAAACCACCCTTGGATGATGGGTTAGTAGACTAAAAGCTTTAGGAATCCAAAGTACAACATATAATAAGTACCCTGTATCAAGATTGATGCAAAACAAGTGACATTTGACCTTTTTAGAGAGGTTTAGCCAAAAACACTCCACCTCTGAGGTGATTTGGGTGGAAATGTTTTTTTTCTTCATATCTCTGGCCCCCCTTTGTCGATTTTGATGGTTGACACCTCTTTCTGACCGTTAGAGCCAATAGAATCGAAGGGGAGTCCCCCACACACACTCATTATGAAACAAAAAGGTGGGGGCTTTGCGCATGTAATTTTGCATTAGAGTGAAACTATCTCTAGCTCTGACATCTAGAAACGGAAAAGCAGTTTTAATGCTCATGGAATATCAGAAATAATTTCAAAGGGACACAGACACATTGGATTAGCCTATGGATTAACTTCAGCAGCGTTTTTATTGTTTTAATGCCATTGAAGACCACTTTGGAGAGACTACAGAGCCAAGGTAAGCATGTTAGCATTTTTAGCTACCTAGCGCCACCTGTTTTGATGTCTGTTTTTGTTTATAACGTCGAAATTTCGTATAATTCAGTGATAATGAGGGTACC